CATTAGAAAGGTTGAGAACCACTGGTCTACATTGTGGATGCAAAAGACAACCAAAGGAGATAACTTTATTCTATTCTCTATAAAATATTAACTTTTATTAAGCTTGTATGAAGAGGGATAACAGATGGCACATCTAACTTCAAAGGTTTCTGGTTAGAGATCTTTAGGAAGGAATGTAACACATAATCTGTGACCCATATGCAGCATTTGAATCCCATATGCTGGGCTGCCTGCCATCCTGATGAACTGTTTTTTCAGGAAGGAATTTTTCCAATTCTTAACTGGAAGTCAACCCATGACTTTATGCACAAAGATCATATGGTAAAGCCACACTTGCAAAATTGGAAGCATGCTTATGTTGGTTTGCCCCAATGTTTACTCTGAGCTGTTTCTGCAGCCCCTAGCCCTCCCTAGAACACAGTACTTTTGTCAAGAAAAACTGTTGTTATGAGCCTTCAAGTCATTTCCAACTTATGGTGACACTACAGTGAACCTATCATGGGGGTTTCTGGGGCTAACAGCATGTGACTAGCCCAAGGTCACCCAGTGGATTTCCATGGCCCAGCAGGGAATCGAACTCTGATTTCCAGAGTCATAGTCCAATGTTCGGACCGCTACACCATACTGGGTTTTCAAAGAAAAGTATGAACTGTTTTTCCTAGAAGCCTCCATAAGCAGCAATTCTATCTTTTAAATCTATTGCAGGACACGCACAATACTGTTTAACATTTTTTCAAAAAATACCTTTCCAAATCCAGAAGTGGATTAATGCCCTCTTACAGTGTTCAATGGGGGAGGGGGGGAGCTTTGAGGCAGTCTTTGTAAACTGGGGTCCCAGTGACAGAAAATTGGTCCCTGGAATTGGCTATCCATCCTGGCTGAAAAAAGAGGCTTTAACCTCAACTCCATTTCTATTACAGTACTTACTTTAAAGAAGCAGTGGCAGAAGTGAAAGTGGCATGCAGGCACCCTCCACCCTATCTGCTCCCCAATGTTTGATACACTAAGAAGAGTACCCATCTAGACAGAGTGACTGCCAGGCAGTTAGCATTTTACCAATCAATCAGTAAAACTATGTTGCATGAAGAAGTCATTGTTCTAATGAAAAGCTTCATTATTTTCATTATTGATGAAAGTTTCATTATTTTCCAGCAAGTCTCTTCTATCTACCTACCTACCAGTAGTTCTATTTCAGCTTACAAAATCACAAACTAACAAAGTGAACAGGTTCTGCCTATTATGTGTCTGGTTCTACTTTGTTTTATGGTCTCACCCACAAAGCCAGTATTTCTAAATCAGAATTTGGCAAGACTATTTAGGCAGATAGGGGAAACCACAGCAGGCCTGAAAACCATTTATAAAATATTACAGTAGGAAAAAGAGTACGCATAGCATCCTAGAAAGAAAAAAATGTTGAAAAAGAATTGCTTCACTGATCCACAATTCCTGCCCATACTTAAAAATTATAATTCTAAATGCAAACCATGCCAAGTACAACTATTCAGCAAATAAGAGCTTATATACTGTACTGGAGGGGGGGGGATCTTCCAATTGGTAAGGCTGATCTAATACAAACATAGATCGGCTAAGCAGTAAAGTATTAACATTCATAGAATAAATTAATGATTTAATCTTTGTAAAATTACAGGGATTAGAAGAGGAAGGTGAAGATTCAATTTTTCAATGTGAAGTCGTAGGCTTTCATGGCTGGCATCCATAGTTTTTTTGTGGGTTTTTTCGGGCTGTGTGGCCTTGTTCTAGAAGAGTTTCTTTCTGACGTTTCGCTAGCATCTGTGGCTAGCATCTTCAGTTTTCTCTGAAGATGCTAGCCACAGATGCTGGCGAAACATCAGAAAGAAACTCTTCTAGAACATGGCCACACAGCCCGAAAAAACCCACCAAAAAAACTATTCAATTTTTCATTTGGTTCTCTTTGCTGCTGCTGCTGTTGTTGTTAGTTGCCCTCGAGTCAGTTCCAACTCATGGCGACCCTGTGGATGAGACATCTCCAAGAATCCCTATCTTCCACTGCTGTCTTACCCAGATCCTGCATGCTCTTGCCCATAACCCCACTGACTGAGTCTATCCATCTGGTCTGTTCTGTGGTCTTCCTCTCTTTCTTCTACCCTCTACCTTTCCTAG